ATATATATATATGTATATGTATATGTATGTGTGTGTGTGTGAAGTAAAAAAAAAAATTCTTACAAATTCTCAATATTTACAAAATACATATATTTATCTCAAAAATATTTCTCACCTCTATATTGTTGTCTTGGTCCATGTTGATGTTTGCAAAGCTAAAAACTGTGAGGGACTGAGAGAATAGTAAATATTGATTCACACCAGGTCCAGACACGAACAATGAGGCGTTCACTGACAATCAGACATTATTTGACAACTGTGCTAACGTCGCAATGTGCATTAGCAACAACCCGGCTTGGCTACGGAAAGCTTAGTGGAAACGCAGCAACTATTACTGGTTTATAATAATAAGTCTAACCGATAACATTATCTCCTACGACGGCATTGCATTACTGTGGATTGTTAAAAAGCTGCCAGCTGATGAAAAATTAAATTACTCAGGAAAAAGTCTGGAAACTAGTTAAATATTACTACCAGCTGTACAACTGACATCGAGTAGTACTACTCGACGGCTAATCCAAGCTAATGGTAGCTAGCCAGTCCGACCTACCAAAAAAAGTAAAATTATAAATACTGAAATACAATATTGTTTACCTTAAATTCGGCTGTTCTTTAAAACGCAAAGCCAAGTAACAGAAATGATAACTGTCCACTGTCCAAACATAAATGCGTTTTACTTACAAAGCCAGCGCGTCTCTTACACCTTTTCGCCAGTGCAGTAAAGCAAGCGCTACAACTGGCTGCCGCGGTGCATTCTGGTACATGTAGTCATTCACTACCAGGACTCTGCACATTTACTTTTATAGAGAAATGTGTTTAATTTATTTGTACTACAGCAGTTCACATGTTACAATCAAAGTCTGTATTCAGTGTGTTCACTAGCGTTCAGACTATCAGAGGTTTACTCTGAAAACAGCCTTAACATGAAAATCAACACAGAAAATTAGTTTTAGGCAGACCTGTTACAACGTGCTCACACACTCACTAGTGCTACTAGTCTTAAAGTGCTTGAGGATGCATTCAGTGTGCTTGAGAAGTATAACAAGGGGATTTTGAGGCAGCCTTAAAAATTGGATTATTTGCAAAACAAAGTGAAAAGAGTGCTGCTTTGACACTGTGTACTGTATGTTTAATGCCCCGAAGAAAATGACGAATATGTTTAAACGCATCTATTATGCAGAATGGCCCCTAACCATACTGTTAATATATATATTTTTTAAATGTCATGTTGATGTGTCAGTAAATACTTCCTTTATTGAAGTTCCTGTAATCGTGTATGCAGAAATGCATGAAGAGACTGGTTCGAGTACCAGTTCTCTTATTCACAGTTTTCTGTAAAAAAGGGGAGATATTTTAAGTACGGTGATGGTCTTTCTACAAACATCAGACTTAAAAATTCTACTGATGATGTGTGATTTTTGTGTACAGAAAGAACTGTAGATCGTGTGTCAGAACAACAGATAATCAAAAAGCTTAGTCATCCTGTTATGACTTCTTGAAAAAGGAACAGTTCAACAGCTGCTCATTGTTTTGCCTCTCCAAAGCAAAGTCAACAGTATCTCAAGTTATTTATCAGAAAGTTCACCATCATCCATTATAACGAGGTGCTGCTAACCTCTTTCTTGTCTTAAAGGTGCTACTTCAAAAATGATGTGCACATATAGTCAGTATAGCAATAGTGGTATGATAATGAACAGCCACAAAACTGTATATTTTAAACATCCCACATACAGTGTGTACAGAGAGCATTTAGTGAAGAATGATGTTCAAAGCGCATATATTATTGCCACAAATATATTGTGATCTTTTGCATAATAACTGTGCAGATCTCAACAACTGTATTGCATGAGCTACCGTTCTACTTGGGATAAAGGGTCAAAGCGTTATTGTGTGTTTAAAATACATTTTGTCTGAATGCAGTCCTCCTTGTCATTATGCATTTATAAGGTGTGTGCTACTTTTGATACTCATTCATTTTCTTCCCCCTGTCTTTCCTGTATATCTGTTTGACCCTGCACTGTAGCACCCTGTTGAACTAAATCACTGCTGGTTTCATTGGTGCATGATCAGCTAAACACAAGCTAAACACAACCATCCTGAGACATGAATGAGACATCATTTCCTACAGAAATACAATGGTCAACACTTGCAACTACACGCCTTATGTTTTCAGTTATGATTTTTTTTTTTGCAACCAATCATTGTTCATTCCATTTTCTTGCTGTTGCTCTTCTGCTCGACAGTCAGCCTGATCCATAATAAAAGGTGTCAAGTTACTATAAGGGAAGTGGAGGCTGTTTAGTGGGGGTTGATTGACATTGCGGTCATGATTGTAGCGTTCAGGGTTAGAAAGGACCATCTGAGTCTTCTTTAACATTCTCCAGCTGCAATGAGTTCCCCAGGTCTCTCCGTCAGCCTGGGTGTCCTGTTGTCTGCATCCTCCTCTTCTTCAAAAAGAGTATGATGAATGCTCAGCAGCTGGTGTGGGTGGGCTTTGGCCAGGAGTGATGGCTGAGACTCGGGAATTTCTGTTTGGGTGAGGGGCTCCATTTGATGAGGAGAGGACTTGGGACTGAGTGGATCCTCGCTAGAGGGAGGATTTGGGCTCACTCCGTTCACATATGTGGTAGTGGGCAGTGTAGAGAAGGCAGCGTTGGTTGATTCTGGAGAGCAAATCTTTGTCTCTGAAAACACATGAATAAAATAGTGATAAAGAAAGAGTCAGAATATAAAAGCTGAAATAAATTATATTAACCCATCTGCTGTCATCGGGTCAAAATGACCCACGGAGGCCTCAGTTTTAAAACTGAGGCTTTGTGAGTAACTTGGCCCAAGTGCAGCAGGTGGGATAAAAATACTGGCCAGTAATGTGTGCTTGAACACAATTATGTAACTGAGTTAAGGGCAACCTTACCTGTAATTGGACAAGATACATGAACTATAGTGTGTGTGCCTTCAAGGTAAACCGTGTCCATGTTGTGCTCTGACGGTATGGGTTCTGTGATTGCAGCCTCCACTTTGGGCTTACGATTCGTCAACATGTACGGGTGAACGTCCAGGGAGAAATTCCGTGTGTGCTTTTTCTCCATTGTACCCAAGTCTGTAAATTAAAAAAAAAAATCATCTTACAAAGTTGCAAGAAGGTTGATCATCTGTGCAAAGGGTACTAAAAACAGTCTGCTATGATTACCTTTTCATTGTAAATTTGGAAAAATGTTAGATTCTATTCCAGAAAATTACACCATTAGCAAGTCTCTAAATTTCCTTGCTGGTTTGCGTTGGTAGGTGGAGCCTAAGGAGTTAATCAGAATTTATCCAGCAGAATCTGACCTCCTGTTGCATCTGCAAGCAATTCTTATCAAATTGAAGGTCTGTCATTTCTTAAAGGAATGCTGCCTTTCATGTCAGTTTTAGACTAATGTCATTGTATGCTAAGAAATGGTGAAGTTGTGGTTGCTTTTGTCAAACCTTGAAAATAACATTTGCATAACCTTGTGCAACACCAAGATGTTTTGGAGTATGTGCCGAAGATGACTCAATATCATGTTAAATTTAAGCTCAATATCTGTGACATTGACTGAGTAATGGTCATTTTTTGTGTTATCTAAGTTTGAATAGTTGTGGCCAGCATGTAATAGGTTAACACCAAAAGTTATTTAGTCATATTTGTGCATTTATTTATTATATCCTGAAAGTTTCACTAAAATTCATCTAGTGGTTTACAAGCTATTTTCCTAAATGAGCTAGGGTTGAGTCCAAATATTTAAGCAATATATAGCAAATATATAGCAAAATTTTTATTATAGTTCTTGTGCAAATTGTTAGTTCTTTGAATACATATTTGCGTTAAGTCCCAGCTACTACCAAACAAATCGTTGGTGCAATACATGTAAAATTAACTAAACTACATGTGACAGCCTATTTGAATTGGTTTGACTCCAATAACTAATCAGGTGTACATGTAAATCCAGTCATTACTTTCTGCAAGTTTCATTAAAATCTTTTCTCTGGTTTATAAGATAAAACAGACACACCTTAATATTAATATTGTGTGTATGCTTATGAAGCATTCACACAATTGTGATCTTTTTTTTCCGTACATTTTTCAGCATCTTTCTCTTTCCATAATTTTTTGTACAATTTAAACAAATCATATATCAAAATCTTCCACTTGCAGAAGGGTGCTATGACTTTTGGTATTGGTGCAACTTTAGCTTTTTGAAATATTTAGCCTTTTCTGCCCCATTTATTCTCATAAAAAATTAATTGAGCTCATTTTACATCCTTCAGATCTTTAGATCTGTTTACAACTTTTACTGCTCCTTTCACATTCTGTTCTGGTTCCGCTTTTTTCAGCCTTCTTGTGCAAATTTAAACATTTTTCTGTTCGATTCGATACTATTGACCACACTATTCTCCTTGAAAAATTAAATAAATATGGTATAAGAGGACCAGCATTACACTGGGTACCTAGCTATTTAAAAGATAGGAAACAGTTTGTACAAATAAATGGTGTAAGATCTGACTTGTGCAATATCACTTGTGGAGTTCCTCAAGGCTCTGTACTTGGACCAAAGTTATTTATTTTATATGTGAATGACTTAGTGAATGTATCAGGACTCCTCAAATGTGTCCTTTTTGCAGATGACACCACATTTTTTTGTTTGGGTAAAGATGTAAAACGGATGTTGGAACTGATGAAGACAGAATTTGATAAAATACAAACTTGGTTTAAAATTAATAAATTATCATTAAATTTAGATAAAACTAAATACATGATATTTAGTAACAAAAAGAAAACTGTTGACGATCCATTTAAAATTGAGGGTGTTGAGATTTGTAGAGTTAATGAGATGAAATTTTTGGGTGTAATCATTGATGAACAGCTAACATGGAAAAATCACATAAATTCTGTAAGAACAAAAATATCTAAATCTATTGCAGTACTATACAAAGTCAGGGAATTATTAAATGATAAAGCTCTGTACATGTTGTATAACACAATCATTGTTCCACATTTTTTTTTCATTTAGCCTTTATTTATCCAGGTTAGTCTCATTGAGCCACGAGAACTCATTTTCAAGAGAGACCTGTTTAGGGAGCACATGGTGGGGTTAAGGGCCTTGCTCATGGGCCCAGAGTGGGGCGAATTAGGGTGGGGGCAAGTGTGGGTGTTTCACCTACCCCACCCACAATTTTTTGATGTTGTCGGGGCCGGGGCGTGAACCGGCGATCTTCGGATCACAAGCCCACCTCTCTAACCTCTGCGCCACCACTCCCCACATTTAATCTATTGCATTGATGTTTGGGGGAAAGCGTGTAAAACATTTACAAAACCTATTTTTATTTTACAGAAAAGAGCTGTAAGAATTATCACCAGAAAGCATTACTGTCACCCATCAAGCACATTATTTTATCAACTGAAGTTATTGAAGTTCCATGATTTGGTAGATTATAGTATTTTATCAGTTATGTATAGGGCTCAAAATAACACATTACCATTAAATATCCAAAGAAATTTTGTTAAAAGACAAAGTTGTTACAATCTTAAGGGGATAGAGATATTTGTCAAACCAAAATTCAGAACTAGTCTGAAGGGAAGGTCTACCTCAATCCAAGGAGTTGGATTGTGGAATGGTCTAGAGAGTGATGTAAAAAATGTCAAGTCAATGTGCACATTTAAGAAAAAGATCAAATCTAGATTGTTAAAAAAGTATATATGAAGTAGCTTAGTGTGTGTTTTTTATTAGAATTAGAAAAATTAGAAAGTTATTCATTTTGTTCTGTTACTTGAAAATTAATATGTCTGAAATAATTGTTTGAAAAAAGGGGCAGATATAATAAGATTTTTTCTTCTTTCTGCTGCCTTTCATTTTAAATTTTTTTTGTATCTTTTTATATATTGTTATGGAATTGTTTTGTACTTTTTTTAAAATGAATAAACTTCATACCATACCATACCATACCAATTTCAGCTGTTTTTGAGCTGTTTTGTGAGCCTTTTAGATTATTTATGCTAACTAAAACATTTTTTTGTGTGTCGTTCTTCTACTTTATTCTGCTAATTTTAGCTTATGCTCCTTTCAGCTTGTTTATGCAAGTTTCAGCATTTTCTGCTATTTCAGCTACTATTGCTGTTTTTATGCTAATTTTAGCCCTTTTTTGCTAACTCCGCAGTTTTGCACTCATTGCAACTTTTTCAGCCTAATTTAGCAAAAATGTGATCGCTTTACTTCATTCTGGTAATTAAAGTTTTCTTTCTGCTTTTTTTAGTTACTTTTCAGCAGGTTTTTTGTGCTAATTTCAGCTTTTATCAGATAATATCCCCTTTTTGCTCATTTCTGCTTCTTTAAGCCTAATTGGGCAAATATGTTCTTTCTGCTTTCTTTTGCGAATTTAAGCTTGTTCTAACTTTTCAGCTACTTTATAACATTTTTAAGCAAATTTCAGCTGTTTTCAGATAAGTTCACGTTTTTCATGTTAATTTCTGCTACTTTCAGCCTAATTAACTTCTTTGTGCTAATTTCAGCTTGTTATGCTCCTTTCAGCCTTTTTCTGTTAGTTTCAGCTTTGTTTGCTCTTTCAACTATTATTCGTCTCTTTTAATAATAATTTTAGCTTTTTTCTCTAATTCCACATTTTTGTTAGCTCATTTCAGTTCTTTCTGCTTCTTTCTGGTAGTTGAAGTTTTTTTTAATCTTTTCAGCTGTTTTTTTGTTGTCGCTAATTTCAGCTTTTCAAACTAATTTCCTCATTGTGTGCTAATTTCTGCCTATTTAAAATTAATTCGGCAAATATTTGTTATTTCTGCTTTCTTTTGCTAGCTTAGGCTTATTCTTCCATTTCAGCTACATTTCAGATTTTTTTTTTTAATTTGCTAATTTCAGCTGTTTACAGCAAGTTCTTCTGCAATAAGCATTCACACTTCATTTTCACAGGAAATGCAGTTTATAGTTATTGCTCATTATGTTATAAAAATGTATTTTAGTAAACATTGATATAAACATTTATAAAAACACAAGCTTTGTATAATTAAGATTTTTTAATAGTACCTATTCAAATGACGCATAGTAATTTTATAAACATGTTTCTAATTAAAATGCCAAACACTGCAAGTTTTGCATACCTTTAGTACAAGGATATTGTGTGCTTTTACTGTCCAAAAGTGGTGCTATGAGGCTGTCTGCCACTGTTTTGCGTCTGAGTGGTTTGGGTTTTTCAGGCTTGGTGTTGTTTTCCAGGCGTGTCAGGGTGTGTGGTTCCTTCACAACAAAAAGAGCAAAAAGATAGTTTGACTGAATATAAGCAACGGTGAAAGCAGCATTTAGAAAATCCTAAATTACACCAAAAGCAAACAAGCAGCTGGGGTATTAAAAAATAGCTTTGAGGACTAATCACTGTTCAATGAATCCTAGGTTAAAATAGAATATGGTGAAATCATTCTGCCATACCTTGAATGGCTGAGGCAGGGGGTTTGACGATGGTATCCATTTAATCTTTTTGCGGGGACGTTTGATGACCAGTGGCTCCCCACCCACCTCTCTCAACGTGAGATCAGAAGGATCCATGTTGGGATCAATTGTTTGTATGCCAGACTCTCTCACGGTGGGCGTAGCATCGTGGTTGGACTGTGCAAGGGCAGCCAGCAACTGCCTGACCACGTTGTCATACATGAGGTCACTCTCATTAGTGATAAAGTCCAGTCGGTTCAGAGATTTGATGTGATCCCGGTTCTCATTACAGAACATGGCCAGGATGTTGATGTCACAGAACGGGGACTTCTGCCAGCGTCGGCGCGTTTTGATCCCAACTTTATTCAGTTTGTCAAACACAAAGTTAGACTTGCGCACCACAAACAAATGCAGCATATTGAGTAGGATGATGAAGTTCATGGTGCAGAGCAGAGCTATGTCCACTGCTGCCATGATGCGCTGCAGCTGCACAGCAGGAAGCTTACAGTTGACCCTGAGTTTCAGCTCCAGGTAGCTGCTAATGTCTGGGGGCTCACCCAATGCACATGTGAACTCATTCTGTCTCTGGCGGGCATAGTAGGCGCTAAGGTAAGAAATGGGAATAGAACTGAGGCAGATGATAGCCATGTGCCGTGCCAGATAAATCTTCGCCAAAAAGTTACTTTGGCCTCGTCTTTCTAGGTATTTCTCAAACAGATTCTGTTCAGGGCTCTTCTCTTTCTCTGCGTTTTCTATGATCTCCCTCCTCTCCCGCTCAGTTATGCCAGGCCCCTTAGACTGGATCTGCTTCTCAATCTTTGGGGCCCGGCCCTCAGCAGCTCGATGATAGCAGTTATCAATCTCTTGAAGCAGGAAATTGAGCTCTGAAGTGAGCCGTGTGGAGGCGAGGAACTCCCAGCCCAAAGCAGGGATGTACATGATCCCAGCGAACGCCAACAGGGCGTAGGGCAGGAACTTGTGCTCAAAGAGAGAAGGCCAAAGGTGAGGCTCCACGCCAGGAATAGCATCACGAAGCTCCGTCCAGCAGTAGCCTCTCGCATACAGTGCCTGGTCTCGGGTGAAGTTGTGCGGTGTGTAGCAGTAGATAGATTCCTCTGAGGAAAGCACAGAAGAAAAAAAAATAGAAAAGCAGCAGCCAGACAAAATGATCATTTCAGAAAATGTTAATTCAAGTTATTATTAAAAAAAATACAAAGAATGGCTCAGTCTACTTTATTAAGATTGTGCTAACATTTGATGTGGGTGTATCTAAGAGTCATTCATAATGAACACTCTGGGCTAGCAACATTGCACAAGATTAACAAAAAAGGTTAAATCATGTCATCTGGACCAGATTCTTTCTGTGAGTAGCAAGTTGGCCATCTGGCCTAAAACATTTGATTGTTATACGTGATGACTGATTGTTTTGGACAGATGGGTCCTTTTGCATATGTTAAAAGCCTGCTTCTGAGATTCCAACAGGAGGATGGCTTGAAACACAAGGCTACCTATGGGAAAGATCTGGTTGGCAGGCCACAGACTGATGAAGTCTTCCAGATGGAAGATGAAACGGTTCTCCCTTAAAGAAACTGGTCCAGATGACATGATTTAAATCTACCTGGATGATTGAGCCTACAAACCTTTTTTATTGCACAAGATTGTAATTTTCAAGGTTTGACCATACGAGTTACACTGCCATCATATTTCAAAACACACTGCCTGGCCCAAAAAAGCAGAAAAAGTCACCACCTGGATTTAACTAAGCAAAGTTAAATAGGTATGAGTCTCCTATTGGATAATTACTGCATGGGCAATTATCTTTCAGCTTGCAACGAGTTATTTAACGCCAACTGGTTCAATGAGTTGCTTCTCATTTCTTAAACAACCATGTCGAAAGAAACATTATGTGGTAGCGGAAAAGCTGTCGGACAGTTCTTAGCACAGTTTTAGTAGTGTATGCAATCCCCTTAGATGTTTTCTCTGCTTGATGCCAATGATTTGATCCTTCTCAAACAGACTAACACATCATTAAAAACTGGAAGGATAGTGGAGACCCATCGTCTTCGAGGAAGAAATGTGGCCAGAAAAAAATCCTGAATGATCGTGATCCGCGATCACTTAAACGAAATCATATCGAAGAAAAACAACAGTAGCACTCAGGGCTATGTTTAATAGTGACAGTAAGAGCATGTCCACACGCACAATGTGAAGGGAACTCAAGGAATTGGGACCGAACAGCTGTGTAGCCTTAAGAAAACCACTAATCAGTGAGGCTAACTGGGAAAAAAGGCTTCAGTTTGCTAGGGAGCATGAAGATTGGACTCTGGAGCAATGGAAGAAGGTCATGTGGTTTGATGAGTCCAGATTTACCCTGTTCCAGAGTGATGGGCGCATCAGGGTAAGAAGAGAGGCAGGTGAAGTGATGCACCCATCATGCCTAGTGTCTAGTCATCAATGCAAGATCTTGGTGAAAAATTAATGCAACACTGGATGGAAATAGATCTTGTGACATTGCAGAAGCTTATTGAAACAATGTCACAATGAATGCATGCTGTAATCAAAGCTAAAGGTGGTACAACAAAATATTAGCGTGAACTTTATTTTTCTTAGTGGCAACTTTTTGGGGGGCCAGGCAGTGTAAGATCTTAGTCTAAAATGCTTGCATGAAAGGCAAACAATCATGCATTCCTTCAGGAAATGCAACGCCTTTAATTTTAAAATATGATGCATTTATTTCATCTCTGCTTCATACTGAGCATTGCATCCTTTAGACTCATTAATTTGTTCTGCATAGTTGTGTGTTTCTAACTAAAGTCATTCATTCTGAAATGATAACCATCTGTAGGAAATAGAGGAAGTAAGCACACTCTTTCCTGTCAGACTTCATCGCTGCACTTTGTTGTACATTTTAACTTGGAGCTTTGTGATATTTGAGTTTAGAGCTGTGATATCTACATGATCAAAAATTAAACAGCTTCTTAATTGAGACTGAAAACTCCATTTGTAAAGGAACCTCGTAAATTACCATTTTTCCTTTCACATACAAATAATATTCTAATCACTTTAGGCAGAACACATTGTTTTTTTCTGTATGTACATATAGTTAACTTTCTGAAAACTCTCATTGTTTTACTGCTTATGTGAAATGCTGAATTGCACCTGATTACACCCTGCAGCAAAAATTTTAGACAACCCAACAATCTGACTGTTCTCCCATTCATTCCATCATAACTTTACATTAACTTTAAACCCATCAGACCATCCAACCTCAATGTTTCCTTAATTTTCTGCTCATTCCATTCAATGCTTCTCATGCATCCTCTTCACTGTTTTAACAGTCATATTGAAAAAAAACAGTCATTGTATTGTAAAATGACTGTTACTATTTTTCTGCTGCAAAAGAGATAAATGGCAAGTGTAAATATCAAATCTGACACTTTTTCATTTGAAGCTGTCTCCAGATCAAACAGCTGTTGTGTTGTTTTGTGAATGAACGACAGAGCTCCGCACCTGCAAAGTTCCTTGTAAAGACGAGTGTGACCAGCAGGATGGGGATGATGACTGTTCCTATAGTAACCACGCGGTCAAAGGGCAGTTCCAGTTTGAGCTGCACCATCAGGCCAGCTAGTGCCCCGCCCTTCTCGTCCTGAGAGGAGCCCGGCAGGATGAGCTCCTTCAACTTCTCGCCTGCGAGCAGCGCCGTGGCCATGTCTAAGTTTTGGTCGAGGATGTTCTGCATGCGGAACAGAAAGAGTGCTCTCTACAACACCACTCTGGGACAGAGGCGACACCGGACGCTCCCTGCTGTGGTTAGGTTCTCGTCAGAACAACGTGAAGCAGACATACAAGCAGGAACGTGTGGCCAGAACCAGCCGCGCTCAACATGTGGGAGAAAGCAGCTCTGAGATCTTCTCCTGCAGCTCAACTCTTATAGGAGAGCAGGCATAATATTTAGAAACACTCGGCTCTTGGAGACTGGCCTGTGTGCATCTCTGAGACTGGCCTCAGTCCAAAAGCTCTGTGTGTGGCAGGTTGAGGGATGAGCTGAGTTCTGGAGGTGTTCTTGTTCGACCCAGAGAGAGTGATTGTAGGATGAAGAGTCGTTATGAGCGTCGGTGGGGAGAAGATATCCTTTCATAAAAGATAAATGACAAGTTAGGAGCAGAAAACTTACAAATGTACATCACAGAGACGTCAACTATGTGCTTTTTCTAGTAACATACAGTCCTGAATAAAAGTTTAGAGTTTTCTTTCATTCATTTTTAATGTTATGTTATGTCGTTCTTCAAAAGTACGCATTTAAAATGTATCAAGTCTATTTCTTAAGGTAAAAATAACAGCTTGTACTTTGTACTTGTGTATTTTCATTAAAAGAAAATGGTAAAAAAAAAAAAGTAGAAAGTAGCAGACGTTTATGTCATCTTGTTTCATTTGTATTAAAAAAGATGAATGTTGATTTTTTTTAGATCGGTCTGGAGCAGAAATATAATGAAATTAATTGGCTTAAAATGACTGTCCATCGAAAACTTTAGGATCAGGTTTGTTAGAGATTGGAGAGAAAAGACTGAATTTGTAATTTGTGTGATCATAACTGTGTTGAGGATGAATTTCACATATTATTTGAATGTAAAATATACTTTGTTTTCTACCAACATGTAATGTTATCCCATCCTCCACAACCCCCAATCTGTGTATAAACTTGTTCTTTTGAAGCGTAACAACAAAGTTCAGACAGGTCATCGGGACGGTTTCTTTTTTTGTTGAGATGTTTTGTCCTTCATCCAAAGGACTTCATCAAGTTCTGAATTTGTTTGAGGCTCCTCATATTGATGAAGTCCTTTGGATGAAGGATGAAACGTCTCAACAAAAAAGAAACCATCCAGATTTACCTGACTGAAAAATGTTGGATTGTATACCTGGATTATTGAGCATGGACTTTTGTTGTTTTCAACCAGTTTGACAAGACTGTAACAAGGAAGAGGGCCGGCAATGGAGGAGGGGGCGTACCAAAGAGACCATCTAATCACAAGCAGAACTGGTTTGTTCCTCTTTGGAGTAAGCTGTTGGGGGAAGAATCAGTTTTGTTGTGTATTTCCTTGACTGATGAAGCCTTCCGGATTGAAGGTGAAACGTTTCAGCACAAAAAAAGAAACCGTCCAGATGACCTGACTGAAAAATGTTGGGTTTTATACCTGGATTATTGAGCATGGACGTTGTTGTTAATGTTTAATAAACTTATTATTTCTTTGACTTTTCTTGAGGAACATGTTGCAACACTCTGGATGAATTTCAGGTTTCTAATATCCAATAATTTTAGTTTCTTCTTTGTTTGTCTCTAAATGAGTTGAAGAGTTGCATCACACTGTCTGATTTTAATGTAAATGTATAAATGATGAAGACAGAAATGAAATGACAATAAAATGAAATATATTTCCAGCCATAGTTTCTTCAAGTGGGCTTGAGATATTTTATTTCTGGCTTTTTGACAGTTTTTCAGTTTGTCTCTGGATACTCGCTGCTTTTTCTACTCATTTTTGTCCTGATCTCTGAGGCATTCATCTCCTGGACTGAAGAGATGAGGCAGTATTGTGTCCACACACAAAAAGTCAACTTAATTTAAATGTAATTTTAGGCATTTTGTTTCCAGCCTCCTGACACAAACAATTGGTTTACCAAGGTTAAGTCTGGTCATCTGGACGGGTTAGAGCCCGTCCAGATGACCAGACTTAACCTTGTTAGATTTTTCTGCCTGGATTATTGATCATACAAATCAGGACGTTCATTTGTTTACATTGCTTCAGCTGAATCTATACAAAATGCTAAAGATGCACAGAGCTGACAAAGTATTTAGCACCAGCTAGGTGGTTCCCAAAGAAACTTGTAGCTGCATCTCTTGCTTCAGGTATTTGCTGTTTCTTTTTTGTCCATAAAGATACAAATTTAGACACTGTTCTTCAGCTGTGTAGTTTTGTACTGTAGACCTGACACTTCTCCTGTCCTCTATGAGAGGATCTGTGTTTTGTTTGTATCTGTCTTGTGTTAGTTCTGTAGAATCTTGTTTATATTCTTGTGTCATCTGTCCTGCCTTCCTCAGTGTTTCTTCCCTCATGTAGCCAGCTCGTCTCATTCCGTTTGTCCCTGTCCCTGGATTGTCTCTGTTTTCCTCCGTGTCTCCTAGTTTACATCCTCCACATGAGTTTCGCTGCCACGTCAACCTTTTTGTTTCTGTAATTAAATGTACTTTATTTTATCTTTGAGTTTGCCGTGTCTGTCTGCACCTTGGGTTCAAAAAGATATGCAGAACATGATTCTCTACATGTCCCATGTCCTGATTTATCCAGCATGCACAGCACAATATGCTGCCACGATCAAGTCCAAGAACTGGACAGAAAAATGAGTGAAAAAGAAGCAAACTCCCAGAAAGAAACTTTGGAGCAACTTCAAAAATTAAGAAGAAATGACTGATTTGAACTATTTTTAAAAGATGGTAAGTGTCATGGCTGGTTGGAAACAAATAAAGGAAGTGTTTGTTAAAACCTTGAATTTAATATCATGGTATACTTTTAATAATATAGGTTTTTCCCTCTGGCTCCACAAGTTACAACCTGTTTGGACCAACTTCCCCTTCATCCCCACATCCAGCTCATCTACAAGATATCATCTGTATTTTAACTGTTGCTTGTTTTCTTGCTTAACCATTGTGTGTTAAAATCATTATGCCATGCCCTGACACTTTAAAATAAAATAAAATAGAAACATTTAAGTGGGTATAACAATGTTTTATATTGATGGTTTTGATTATTCTTTTATTTACTGACGTGCTGCTGACCTTTTGACCAGGTCACCCTTTGAAAAGTGATCTTGATCTTAATGAAGTCAGTCTTCTTGGACAAATAAATAAGTTGAAAACTTTTTAGAAAGTACTGTATCATAAATTATGAGAGGATATAAAAAGAGCAATCATATTGTGTAATACCTCCCTCAAGAAATATGGCTGTTCATATAAATTCTCCTCTAAAATGACAAAACCAAAGTCATAGTTTCTAACTAAAGAATATTACATCTGTCTTTGATACAGCAAGAATACAGAAGGACAGGTTTTAACTGTGGGGACTGTGCAAACAAAAAGGAAACAGAAATAAACTGAATCTACTTTAACACAAGAACCACATTTTTTTAAACACTGACTGACTTAACTTCATCCTCGGCTCCCCTCTACGCTATATGCTAATTACTCCTGAGGGACAGAATGTTCACACTAAGACTTCAGGTGACCTCAGACATTTATCAGTGAAATCAGTGTGACTTCACTTCCTACGTGTTGAATGTGCATGCATCATGCATGTTGTAAATTTGCAAGGTCTGCTGCTTCATTTCACATGAAGGTTATGTGAACGTCCTTTGTATAGGAGAGGGAATGCAGTCCTTTTCCCGAACACTTCCTCATTTTCCATCTTCAGCTCCTTTTTATCTTATTCCACAGGAAGCACGGCTCATTTATAAGCTCCTGAAAAGTCAGGCTTTCTATTTTAGGTCTGTAACATATATTTAATAACTTGGAGAGGAGAACTTTAAGTCTGGGCTTTCAGTAACGAGAGCAATTAGTGCACTCCAGTCAGATTTAAAGCACACATGATAGGAGAGGAACCCTTTGGAGCATTAGCTGAGCACATTTATTCAGACATGTAGCAATTACTGCTCCTTAAATAGAGAACAAGATGGACTATTTTTAGGCAACAATGCCTAAATATTTCTTCCATCTCAGCTCAAAGGCTGGTCATCATTCATGACTTGACCTGCATCCTAAAACAACTACCTCAAGGATGATCAGAGGAGAGGAAAAGTTTGCATAATTTAGATTTAAAGGAGTATAACCAGATTTTAGGAGCAGCACTGCTGTTTGGGAGCCACTGGCACTGCTCCAGCTGGACAGATGATGTCCCCTCAGCTGGGTGATGGTGTTTAAACAAGGATTCCCACATTCTTTGCCTACTAGTGCCCCGCTTGGCTCTGACCAGTGCAGCCAGCTGTGGAGATGCAGAGTTGAAGGCTCTAGTTGAAGCTCAGGAAGAGGAGCTCCATTCATTAATAATTGGATGACAGAGGAGGAGAGAAGTTTCAGGAGGGAAATGTCACTTGTTCTCTGACACTGAATAAATCAGATTGGACTGTGGAAAACACATTCAAGTGTCATCTTTGTTCTGGTTGTCAGCAGTCTCCCCTCTTTCACCCCGCCAAAAAAGAGTAACAAAAGGATGTTTTAAGAAAGATCACCCTGTCCTAGTTATGGTTGGGCTTCTCGCTGCTGTCTTCTGAGGTCCATCAGTTCAGGACGCAAAAAGGGGTAAGGGGGTGTAGGGGATTCAAGATCAGGGTCAGTTCTGCAGCTGCCTGGAGATGACGAACTGTTTCAGCACTTGAGCGGGCGGACAGCTCCCGAGAAGCCGGCAGCCAGCTGCTGAACATCAGGAGCATCGAGTCCATGTCTGACTCAGAAAGTGTGTGTGTGACAGGAAGAGACTCTCTGTGATGCCCAGCTCCCGGCTGTCTAAACCAGCCCAGGCTAACTACCCCCCACTCCCCTGCATTTATTCAGCGTGGAGCCATGAGCAGACAGGGAAAAGATGGAAATCAAAAATCCACTCACCGCGTCTCGCAGCTTCTCCCGGCGCGGAAAGAGTTAATCTGCAGTGCGGGCGAGCAGCTCCAGCATCATGTATCCGAGCTCACCGGTTTGTTCCGCCTTTTCTCTCCCCCCTCCAGCTCCACTCCCTCAGAGCCTCTCCTCTCATCCTCCTCCTCCTCGGAAACAGAAGATAACTGTCAGATCTGCCGCTCCGAACCATCAGCTCCTTTCAGTCATGAGGCAGGATCAGGAGCGTGCAAGGATTTATTTATTTTAAAATAGGACACCTGCATAATGATATTTTGCTAAGATTAAAATGTTCATCAAACGTTCACAATCAAGCTTCCCTTATACAAGTTTTGCTTTTTTTAAGTTTTCAGTTTAGCGCCCCGGACAGGAACCAAAAGACTCCTGCAGACCGGCTCACATTCTGTTTCCTTGTCTACAGCCAAACAGCAAGGCGCTGGCGGGATTCTTCTGGCTCGTTCATTGGTCCTTCCAACATGTCCATCATGTGGAGGGAGGGCCACAGACAGATGCAAACAAGGAATGGGAAAAATGCCTGTCAATCAAACCCGCTGAGTGAGGAGAAGCTTTTAAACACCCACCCCTCCTTTCTTTTGTTTTTGTCCTCCAAGACATCAAATCATTCTGAGCAAGCCTTGATTTATTCACACAGGTGAGCAGTTATATAGGCCTTGTGTCAAAAGGAGCAACAGTTTGTAAAGACAGTCAATGTTTTATTTGATCTCATCACAATG